TTGGGCGGCGGGGGGCAGGCTCCACAAGTGATTAAAATTTTTGGCCCAAACCGGGGGGGGGGGGGGGGGTGTACTCATAGTCGTGCATGCCGTAGTCGTTAGACCATTGACCTCGCATCCCTACAAAGCCGGGACGGAGCACGCCGGGTTCTCACCGGGCCAGGCTCTCACATCACCAAGCGCGAAGCGCCGTGAGATATTGGGCGAGTCGCATGACGAAGGGTGCGCTGCATCCTGCTAAGGGTGTTCGGCATCTTGTGCTTACTTCCTTGCGTACGGATGACAGCTGCGTATGACTTAGTTTATTTTCTGGTACTTTCACTCCAGAGGCAGCTGTAAGCACTGTGTAACTGCCTCGAGGGTGCTTGACCAATTTTAACACAACGTGGTGCAATTATCCCCCTTGCGCGAAGTGAGGGTTCTCGACCCCGCACAACATAATCTACTCGACCACCATTCATGGTTACCGCAAAAAAAAAACAAAGGCAAAAAAAAACCGGTAACCTGGTTGCCGAGCTCACGAAGTGATCGGCTTGTTTTACAACATCGCTGCCAAGCGACGAAAACCCAACCCCGATGGTAAACACCGGGGGGGGGCGGCTTGTTTTACAACCTCGTTGCCAAGCGACGAAAACCCAAACCCCGATGGCAAACACCGGGGCGTACTCATTTGTTGCTTGCCTGAGTCATTTGACCATTGACCACGCGTCCCTTTCGAGACGGAGCACCGTTCCTACCCCTCTACTAAAGACACCACCAACATTTGGGAGCTCTTTATGTTTCTGCCACAAGCTACATAAAAATTTCTTGCACATCTTATCCCCGTCCTCTAGGGCCTCTTGTGCTCACCATCTATCCCCAATTATCGCGATCGTTTTTTCGCTGTTGCCTAATTTACCAAACTTGTCCATGTCACACCCTCTCTGTCTCATTTCCTCCTCGAGATCCTCTCTTTCCTTCCTGTACAACTCACACTCCCCAACTATGTGGGGTCTACTCTCCTCCGATTTGCCACATGGACATGTGTGTCTATCCTCCTCTTCCTCTCTCCCACGGCTGGTATACCTCTTCCTCCGTTCTGGCAAGTCCAGATCGCCTACTCGAAATTGCAATTTCAGTTTTTTCGCGTAGTCCATGGGGCAGTCCAAGCATATCTTCATCCCTATCCCTTCTTTCAACTTCCCGTATATCTCCAAGTGGTCTTCGCTTCGTACCTTCTTCCGAAGGGTTGCCTCCTCCCTACTTTCTAGCATCTCCTTGACTTTCGTCTTGAACCCCCCGAACCCTTCCGTGTCCAACGTCTCCTCCTCGTCTCCTTTCTCCTTCCAAACCTTCTCTACCACCTTGTCCCATCTGATTCCCTTCTTCCCTGGAGTCGCTTTTCCCCAAGCTGCCTTGTCAACCATGGCTGGTAGTCTATCGTCCGACATTCTACTTACCTTGTACTGCCAATTCAACTTCTGCATGTCTCTCTTTGTTTTAAGAGAGTACATTCCCAATTCTGCTCTCAATACAGTGTTGCTCGTTGTACTTGAACATCCTAGTATTTTCTTGGCCGCTGCCATCTGCACCGTTTCCAGCTGCTTGACGGCCTTTTCGTTACCTTCCCACACTTCTCCTGCATACTCTAGCTTAGGTACAATCACATTCAAGAGAATACACCTCTTAATCCTAGTGTCTAGGTGTGGGTCCGTAAGGATCTCGTCCATCTTGCCTATCTGAGCTTTACCCTTCCCAATCAACTTTGCTATGTGTGCGTCCCATGAGCACTCCTTCGAATTCTCTACTCCCAGGTACGTATACTTGTCTACTACCGGTAGTTCTTCCTCCCCCCATTTCCATTTGAATTCTACGGGATTTTTCTTGTCTTCGTTACAGACCACTACTGCGCATTTTCTACGTTCGCCGACGGTCTCCATTTTCGGGTGTATCCTACCGCCGCATCTATTGGTTCTTGCAACCCTTCTGGGGGGGGGGGAGAACAAACACAGTTCGGAAACTACCCCTACTTTTACACGGCCTACACGTATACTTCGTGCAGAAAAACCAAAATCTATCTACACACACGGTCATCGGTACTAAACATGCGGTGCTGTTCCGGGTCGACTAATCCTCGCAGCATTCACGTTTGTTTGCTTGTTCCTTCAAACATACAGTCACACCTACTTTCCGAACTGGGGGCCGTCCCTCCTACTGACTATGTAGAGTAAGTAGACAGGCTCGACTGGAGTACAATATTCAAGGTTGACTCTGTGTGAGCACTAGAGCGAGGAATCCCCGTACACGACGCCCGCCCCCAACAAAAAAGCCACCACCATAGGTAGGCCGCAGGGAGGGGGCGGCTTGTTCTCACCGAACGACTATTATTGTTATTGTTCAAGACTGGAGAAGAACATGAAGAAACTCTTTGCTCTGTACAACGTGACAACAAGTGGAACAACGGAAAATGGGGCAAGAAACAACACAACGAGCTCTTTTAGCACCACTTCGAAATATCGCTATGACGCTGCCTCCTCCGTACTTCCTGGAAGGCAGAGCCTCCGCCCGCCGGAAACGGTGTGCCGACAGCATGAAAAGCTGGCCTCAATCTCATGGGAAACAAACGGATAGTTGGCAACGCAAGCTGACCTGTTTCGTTTTCGTACTATAAACAAGAGAGCGCGCTCGGTTTGGTTTCTACGCCGCCGCTTCAAGTTGAAAAGAAAGAAGGGCGAAAAAACACGGCACATATATTCAGTCGGACTTAATTCGGAACACGGTTTGCGCCAAGCTGCTGCCGCACACAGACCTGGAGTCGCCCGCGCACTCCGTGGAACATAAGGCGGGACCGTGTTCGTCGTAGTCGTCCTTCCATTTGCCGCAGAAGCACCTGGTCAGAGTTGTTTCATAGGAGGAGGCGTAGGAAAACACCAGAAGCCGAAAAAGAAAGAGTTGGTTACCAGCTGTCTGTCTGTGTGGAGCTGCTTCATACATGGGAGCGCACCCGCCACTACACTTACTGTACCTTCACAAAATTTAGCGTTGCGGGCATACCCTTGCCCTGGTTTTATCCCACTTTCCTCTGCCTGCACTGTCTGCCGAGTTATTTTTCTGCGGTAGAGATGTAAGGTTTCGCTCGTTCAGAAGGATGAGGAAAGAAAGTGCCAATAGCACGAGGAGGACGCTAGCAATCGACATTGATAGCAGGCTTGATAGCAGGCTTCCTAATCTTGACGAGTGCCGAAGAGGAGGTGTCGGAGAGACGCAAGCAATCGGAAGTATCGTTGTCAAGACTATCAACACACGACACCAAGCGCGAGAGAAAAGAAAAATAAAATCAAGTGCGACTCATATGACACAAGGAAAAAACAATTCAAGTCCCCGCTCGGTAACTATTTCTCAGTGAGCTATAATAGCTATTGGTACGGGAAGCAGCGAACACGGCAATACACGGCAATAGTTATATGGGTGGTAACTGGCCATCACGGTAATATTTGGAGAGGGTCTCCATTCGTTTGATCGAAGAGATAAAGGAGAGACGCAGAGCGAGCGTCGAACCCGTGACCTACCGCGCCTGGAGGTGACTTGTAGTCGTCTCAGCTGCTCTACGGTACTTGATTTAAATTACCGTACGGTGTTGGTAATTGAATATGTGCGCGATAAGTGCCTTTGGTTGGGTGGTAACCAAACGCCACGGGATTTCGGTATTTTGCACGGCAATTGGTTGGGTGGGAACAACAGGATATGATATCTATCCTTGGTGACGATTTGGACGTTAATGGGAGAAGGCCATTTGCTTCGTAATGGTTTGGATGGGTAGGGTAACTGCAAATTTTCTCGGTAACGTCACCAATTACCATTCGCGTGGAAATCCCGCGGGAAAAGTACCGCGAGAAAATTCCCGAGAGTAGCCTCGAGAATTTTGAGCATCTATTATGTGCTTTCATTCACGCTCGGCTTACTTTGTGCCAGATTGAAGCCCGAAGCACCTGGCGTTCGCCGCATCACAGAAGCTCTTACACATCTGCACAAAAAGGAAAAGAAGAAAAACAAGCGGAAAGCAGTCAATCGCCGAAAAGAGTAGAAACGGGAACGGCGAGCGCAGTAGGAAGGTATGTTCTTGTGCAGGCCGTATTCCTTGCTCGGGACCCCTAAATAGGTAGTTCGTTGCAACGAGAGGCTTTCGGCTTTTTTTGCCACCTTCTGCCTTTGTTGTGTACATCACATTTGTATCAAAAGTGCAGAGTACCATTGATCCGCTAATCCCTTAGTTGGTTGAGACCGTCTCGTTGAAGCAACAGGAGTAGTAGCAGTAGTCTTCGACAAGTCGCCAGCACCTGCCGATGATTCCCAAGACACCTTATGTACATCACAAGGGCAAACAAGAACAGCAGCGGTAGCGGGGGTATGAAACACTAACAACGACCCTACCTAGTCGACACGGACTGCTCACATCGTAGTCCATCTTGGAGCTCTTCGTCTCCTTGAGCGTCAGCGCTCTGTTGTTGTGGATGTCGTCCGCGAAGCAACCCATGTACTTGGAGCCCCTCGGGACGTCCTCCGGCTCGCCCTCGAACTTGAGACGGACAACGAGCTACGCCCTCCGCACGTCTCGGTGCGACTGGTGCCGGGACAGGCCTTGTTGCAGCTCTTCGACTTGCCGTGCTTGCGGGGCCTATCCTTCGAAGCGGAGCACCAGCACTGTATGTACATGTACAAATAAGATGGCACACAGGCAAGCCCGAAATCAGAAAGAGGGGCAGCGAGAGCGGCACCAGCTTTCGGCTTGGTTCGGCGAGGTTCGTTTTCTCATTATTTGACCATGGCGCGGTCACCACCGACCGGTTGATTGAGGAAACCCCTTTTCTTTAGCCACAAACACCCGCGATGAAATGCGCGTTTTACGGTGCCTAGTGCGGAGACGAAGCCTATCATTTTGTTCTTCCAGGGAGAAATAGTGCTGTGGCCGACATCATCAGCCAAGCCCGAATACTGAAGAAACGGAACAAAGAGCAGTGGGCACGTCGCGACGGCGGTGGTGGTGTTTGCTTTTGTGCTGCGTCTTCGCTAGACACAACCGAACTCTTCGAACCACTGTTGTGGCGCTTGTATTTTTCCCGCGCTAAACCTAACCCCTTTCAGGTTTGCTGCACAGCTCATCACCTCAGTGCCGCCTTGCGTCCCGAAGTACCTGGTGCCGTCGCACAGGTCGGCGCACATCTGACAAACACAGACAACGGCCATGTCAAAGACGGTGGCGTGGGCTGGCTGACATGGGGACGAGGGGACTACATATAACAAAAGTGACGCATCGACGATTGATTACTGTTGCTCTTCAGAGTCTTCGAAACCAGGAACGTGACAATTGCGAGCACATAGGAGCAGAAGAAAAGAGGGAGCCGCGCTTTGCGGGGCACGGTGGTGTGCCCAAACTCTTCTGGAAAAGCATGTCATAACGAGTCGTGGTCCGCGGCAAACGAAATCCCCGCACGAGATGAAGGCCGTGGGGATGGAACTGCCTACAAGGTGGAGCAACTTTTTTGCGGGGTTGGACGGGGAATCCTTCGCCGCCATGTCCCCGTATAAATCATCCCATGACGTTTGTATGCTGCTGTAGATACCTCATTGGTCATGTGTGCGTCGACATATTTCTTTCCCGAGAACACGTGGTCGTCATCGTCGTCCGCGAAGCAACCAACGTAGAGGTGCCCCTCGTGGTCGGGTTCAGGGCTGGTGCGAATAATCCCTGCTTTGCAGTAAGAAGAAGGAGTTGTTCGAGACGGCGCACAGGGCGCAGCAAGCAACGGCAGCAAGCAACGGTAGGTGGTTGGAAGACGGCGATGATAGGATTTGTTTTCCCTGGGCAGCAGCGCTGTAGCCACGGGAAGGCCATTCGGCAAGAAGCAGGGAGCCACCGCGCAAGTTCTTCGGTGCTTCCGCGAGGCACTACCAAGTCATGCTTGTTTCAGGGATAAATCTTATTGTTGGACACCCCCAGGGTGACGTCTTGATAGCGAAGTTCCGATTTTTTCGTCGTCAGCTTCTTCTGCTTTGCAGGACATCTTCGAAGACCTGAAACAAGAGCATCCTACACTACCATTCCTTTCCTTCGGCCGCCTCGTGCTGGAATTGTTCGCGGGGTTGCGGTGCACTTCAGGGTGGTTCGATCACTATCTCTCCTCGCACCCACCTAAAAGACTACTGCATGTGTACTTACCGTTGGGTCCTTCGATAGAGATGTCTCGGTATTCCACCTGCCGTGTGTTGGAGAAAATAACGAAGGACGGGGTTCACACACGGAATAACAGCAGCAGCTGTCGAGGAACCTATCCAAGGAAACTACGTGCGGCGTGAGCCAGACAACGCGTTCTTCGAAGTATTTTACGTCTCCCCCGAAGCAGCAGCTCTAGCGATACTAGGCTCTAGGCGTATGTATGTACTGCTTGCCCGTATGCCGATGCGCTCGATTGATCTAGCCGTTGTGAATCCCATCGATCTGACGGCGAAGCTTTCAACAGTAGTAGTATCAATCTGACGAAAACAACATGGTGTTATTCGACCAACTACTGCTGCTGTGGAATTCATCGTAAACCCCCGAACCTGAACGCACCACGGACACCAGAGCGCGGAAGGTTTCTCGTACCGCACCGCACTCCTCACCACACACGATTGAGAGAGAATTCCGCGCGCCATCACACAACCTCGTACTACAGCAGTCGTGGCTCCGTTATAGAGGGAGCCTTATGAGAGGGGGCTCCGATAAGAGAGGGTCGAGGGCCTTTGTCACCACCCTCTACGGAGCCACGACGGTACTCGACACGCTCCTCACCTTCCCGTCGTAGACCTGGTCAGTCTTGTGGTAAAGCCCGAGCTTCATCCGCACCCGGTCAGCGTCCCTGTGCCAAGCCACAGGCTTCAGGTTGCTGGGCCAGACCGCCCGACCCTCGACAGCGCCGGAAAGCCTCACCTGGGCCACCGATGGGTTGAGATAATTGAGAGAGGGTCGAGCGTACAGCGTGCCGCCCTCTGCTACTGTTGCGGTGACGGGTTAGGTTTTGCGGAAGAATGGATGTAAGAGATGTGCCCCTGCCACAAAGGGAAGATGTCTATCGAATGTCGAGAGAGATGGAGAAAAAATTTTAGCTCCTATTGGTCAACATCGATGCCGCTGAATTCTGATTGGCTTGGTCAAACCGTATTCTTCCGCCCTCGGTTGTCCCTGCCAGGGTCGCCCGACCGTTGTAGACAGCATCAAGGGAAGGGCAGGCAGGGGTTCGGTGGTGCAGCAACAGGTATTAGTTCGATTGTTTTCAAGTCGAAGGGATGAATGCTTGCTTTTCGGGAAGCTCTCCCACGAGACGTACCACCATAGACTTCCCGAACGTGGTGACAATCTTCACGTGCACCTATTGTCCGGTCGAGTCCTTCCAGTTCAGGTGCTTGCTCAGGCCCTCGTGGAAGTTGTCGGGCATCTCTCGGTTGCTGAAGCGGACCATGAGGCCGTCCTTGTTCGCGGTTAGGCAGTAGATGGGGTCCTGCTTGATCATCGTGCCTTTTACCTTTCCCTTCCCGATGGTCCCCTTCTGCTCGTGCGCACCCCGGCATGTAAAGCGTGTGCGTGTTATGTGCGATAGGACGAGTCTTGAAATGGTCTACAAGGAAAAAGGAAACCCGAGAACGGACAAGAGGAGAGAGCCAGAGAGAGAGAGCATGTACACAAGGAAGGATAAAAAAAAGACAGTCGCTCGAGAAATACATAGCTCGAAAAAATACTCACAAGCTGTCCCAGGTGTGTGTACTTGGAGGACACACGCATTCCCTCTTCCGCTCGAAAGCTGTACTTGATTGTGTACTTCTCGCCCTTGTAATAGTCGAAGCCTTCGGGGCCTTCGTTGACCTTCGTTTCGGACCGCTCTTCGTCCTTTTTTACTACAAACCTTGGACGCGCGCGCGGGGGATGGGGTTGAGGCCAGCGTTGTGAGTCCTGGTGTCTGAAGAGGGAACTAAGAGTATCCCCTTGTCATTGATGAATGAACGGCTGGATCCCGGTATTTTGATATTGGCGCTTTTGTGAGGTTTTTAACGATGAGCTTCGCCCGGAGGCGAAAAACACTATCATGTAGGTTCGGTACCCCTCTCACGTATGTCCCCATGCGTTATTCGGGGGTAGGGGAGAGGTGAGCAGGAGGCACGGGGGTAGGGGAAGATCAACACATGTATTCCTCTTCGAAGTATTTGCCGCCTTCCATTGCCGCAATAAACCTTTGCAGGAGAGAAGACGGGCAACCTAGTCTGTTTCTTTGCTATAAAATCCACCGTACGGAGTTCTTCGAAGCATGTGGTCGTGAACAACAACTTGCGACAAATAGATATCATGTTGTGTCTGGTCGATTATTGCCGACGCATCATTACTTTCGATAGGCAGGTCAGAGCATTCTGTCCACCTCAAGCATAACACAGGAAGCTGCGTCCACCTTGGCAATGACTCTAGACGGGCATGCAAGCTGTATCCACTTACAAGGAGCACGGATAGTGACGTTTGCCGGAACACTTGGTCATGTACCCCCCCCTTCTGTTCACCTCGTCCAGCGAACCCGGTCCCTTGGTTCGAAGAATGCGGCGTTCGCAGGGACAGTGACCCGGCAATGGCCGAGGGGGGGGGAGGGGGGGGGGCGCACGTGCCGGGGTCATACGCTTATTGGTCTGGCGTCTCTACCAAGACCAGGTATCATGTCATCGGCACCACGCGGCAGTGTGCTGCTTGTCTTATATGTGAGTGCTGTGGGCATTCTTGTGAAGCAGCCTTGTCTTACCAGAGTCATGGATACGTGACGGCCTGTTAAGCTCAGCAAACCTCGCTGTCTCCGAGAACTACTACTTCTCCGCAACCATGCCTAACCCACGGTGTAGTACGACCCTTATACCCGGTGAGATAGACCCGATGCCACCCTGTAGTTCAAACCAGGATGTACATTCCGTTTCATCTAAGAATGTAATTTCCACACAAAGCTGGGTACCTTCTGTTTGAGACCCGCGCTTTCGTGTCGCTCTTACTTCGCGACTGGGGTGCTGCACGTGTTTTGTACCAAGAACGACATCCTGGACACCAAGATGAGTCACAAGCACACCGTTTTCAGGAGATGTTGTCGTCTGTTGGAGTCAATCTCTCTCTATCTCCCCCTGTTGGCTGCTGGATTGAAACTACAGAGCATTGGACACCATAATTCTGTTCGTGTGTTGCGGATGGCATTTACAACAGGATGCCCAGCCCATGCCAAAGATCCTACGCACGGAGCCTATCGCTCGATATTGGTGGTACCCGACCTAATTTCCCCACGTGTTGAAGAACCTAGCTCTTTCCGTAGTAAGGCAAGATATTTTCCACTCACAAACACGCCATCCCAGTCGATGTGGTTGCCCTTCTCCGCATCGCAGGTGATATCGATGGCGCCATGCCTGTGTTGTCACGCGAAAGCACAAGCACCACGGCAGAGAGAGCAAGCTCCAGGTGCATTGACGTTGTCCAGGCACGACGTTAAGTTCCAGACGTATTCGGGGATTAAATGAGACATCGAACGCACCGGGTTGAACGATTGAAGGAAGGTACAGCGGCCGTATGCAGCGATACCATGTGCGCCAAGCGCTCAAAAAACAATTGACATCCCAGCACTAAGCAACAATTGCCGTTATTTCCACACACGCCCTCCGGCGGTCGTAGACATACTATGCTTACCACCTCGTGTTTCCAAACGTTCTCGTTCAACCCGGGAGAGGGTTGCATGGGTCAAAACGGGCTACGGCAGCCGACCAGGTCTCCATCCACCCACAAGATGGACCCTTACAGTAAGGAGACCGCAACCCAGCCACAAGAGAGCGGGAGCGCGAGAAACAGCCAGACACGTATGAAAGGAATCTACGCAGCGATAGTAGCCGTGACTTCCTCAAAACACTCAAAACAGGCTTAAGCGTTGGATGCGCAGAAAACGCCGTGCCTTTCTTCAAGGTTTGAACTGCAGTAACAGTTTCCCTACCGGGAGAACGTAGTTCCTTTCCCCCCACACCAGCAGTCACGATCATCCTCCGAAGCAGCTCCACAAGATTTTTTCTTCGACTAATAATCGCAACCGTTGCTCCTCCGTCTAGCTCCGCCACTCATCGGTTGCTGCTTTGCACTGCCGCCGGAAGTGATTCTCAAGCAGACTCTTGCTTACTTGTGCGCCGTGAAAAGAAATGTGAATACTTTCTCGACACACAATCGGTAGTACCGAAACTTTCGTAGCGTAGTCATCGCGTCAACTCTCCAAAAACCGTATCCAACATATCGTCGCTTTGCCGATCTCCGTACGCGTCACTCACACTAGTGTCCTTGTCCCAGCGAGACTACAGGCAAGCGTTATCATCAGCCCGAGCTCGCCCGTCAAGCTAAGACGATAAGGTAGCCTCATCCTGGCGATGCCTTCGGCTGAACGAAAAACACTAGCAGAGGCAGCAGCAGTTGCACGCGTAGGTGCTTCCCAAGTGAGAAGCTTAGGAAGGAGTTACGGGTGGACTAGGGTGCGAGAGTGAAAAAAACTACAACATACCGGGGATGAAACGTTCCAATGTTCTTTTCTTCACAGTTCCGTAAAAAACAGAAGAACTTTATGGCGCATCTATTTTCAAGGGCGACCAGACCGTGGTAACCTGCAAAGCGTAGCAGCGGCAGCAGGACAGTAGAGTGGCACCAGCGGTGCTGTCGAACACAAACGCAAAAGGCGATGGACACAAAATAATGTAGGTAACTTAGGGTGTTCGTCTCGGCACCGTACAACACGGTACCCGACGGAAAAGCGATCTCTGGGATGTACTACTTACGGTGTACTTACCTGCCGTTAGTCTGCAGCAAGCACTGGCACGCTCAGTTTTTACTGCCTTCTTCGCGCTTTGCGCTCGATTATGTTCCGGGTGCTGTCAAGTGTTCCGGCGAATTGACCTAACCAATCCGACCTTCAACGCCGCTGCGAACGACGCCACGACGCCCTTGTCGACATTGCGGTGAGACATAATATAGCAGCGGGGGCGGTGCACGTGTAACTTTATTTTGGGATCGTCCCCAGCGGCACTCACCTGAGAAGCGAATAAGGAGTTACCCAAGCTTATTTATTTTCCAGCTGGGCTATGAAGAACACAGGAGGAGAAAAGAAGAAAAGGGCGCCATGTGTACCCCCACTCTACCACGTGCAACCTTCATCTGCCGACCGCAGCACCTGCAGTAGTATCAGCCACTGGAAACGTCGTAATCGTGCGTCGGTCAGGACCTGCTGCTGAGCTGCTGACGTTGTTGAGAGGCGAGAAATGTTCAAACGTTCAACATTGCACCGAGAGAACCAAGCCAACGGTCAACAGTTCAACGCCAAATTCGGAACATTTCCGCTGCACCGAGCGGTGCATGTTCTCACATAGCTACGCCTTTCCAGTCTGGCGGACGAACGAACAGCCAATGACCTCTAAAGCATTAAGGCCCACCTCGCCACGATCAGGAGCCCTTGGGTGGTTAGCAGAGCTCAAGACGCCAAGTTGCGACTGCCTTCACATGATCCGGCGGACCGCGATGTCGTGGGCACTGCTGCTTCTGCTGCTGTTGCTGCCTCCTACCCCCACGGAGTCGCAAGCTGCAGGTTTACTGTGCGAGGTTTACTCCAGTCCGGGAAGAGCGGGTGGTCTCGATGCGCACCAAGACACCGAGGCATATTTGTTCGAATGCGTGGACGGAGCCTTCCTGTCCGAGATGCGCGTCTGGGGGTGGGAGGATTGTGTCGGAGCTGTGCAGGTACGTGTATGTACAGCATAGATGTGTAGATGCATCTCGCATGCTCATACTGCGTTTCTGATATCGACACACCCGCGGTAAGGTGTACCCCTTTGCGGGCAGTTGGCTTGCGACCGCGGAAGGCGTCCGTGTCAGTTGGACCAGTACGGACATTAGAAGACAACTACAACAACAACAACAAGGTGCGCGTTTTGCAGACTCACTTCTCAGCACGGGCCGGTATGTATGTCGTGTCTCTATTTTCTCCTCGGCTAATCAATGTACGGGAGGGACAGAGGGTTTGTGTGTGCGTGCACGGAGGAGGGCCGCGCGCTTTCAAAATGCTGCACGTTGTACCTCTCTTCTAAACCAAGGAAAGGAAACGCCAGGGCAGAGGTGTAGTCACCGCGGCAGCAAAGAACAACCGCGCGCAGGTAATTTCGCCCAGTATCTGGAGATGATTGATGATTGGCTTCACCATTCGATGTCAGAAGTGCCTTTAGTACGGAAAAGACCAGATAGATAGAAGCAAGACACATGCAATAGTAAAGAAGCAGATGCAGAAATGCCGGAGCATCATCATCAGGTTGCTTGGAAAGTGGAGTATTGTCTCCTGCGGAGCACTTGCCGATCGCTGAGTGCTTTTGGGGTCGTTTTCGATTTCAAGTCAACGTCAACATCGTTTTTGTTTCATTGTTTTCATTGTTGGAAATAGTGTTTTCCTGTACCTGTATGAATCAGAACAGCGCGGGAGGGTGGTCGAGTACGGACTGCTATTTATCAGATTCCGTCATCCCATCACGTCTTCACCGGACCACAACCTAACGACCACCTTTACCTCGAGGCGTGTACAAACTCATGTCTCCATTGAGGGTGACTGAGCAAACCTCTTAGAAGCTACATGGCGGCAATGCCAAAGAAGGGTAGGTGAAAGGGCGTGGGAACAGATGCCGAAATGGAAACAGCGTGACAAGAGCGTGGAGGCTTGCTGCTGCTTTCCCCAAAAGCACCAGGTGATTTGCCGCCTTACTATTTATTTTGCGGTGTGAAGAAAGTTGGTTCCAACGCCATAGCTGTGCACGTCGTAAACCACCAGCATGGGTGTTCCTATGAGGAAGCTGCATGTCCTCAGAACGCCCATCTTTCTCTGCCTACCTGCCTGTCTGACTGTCTGACTGTCTACCTTTCTTATGTTCCCCATCCCCCTTACGCGCCCCCCTCCAATCGATAAACCTGGAAAACCATAGTGGCGGTGCACAAACGGGGAGGAGTCCCTCGTGTACCCTCGTGACCAGCCGGGTGACGCTATTAACTTGACCGCGTCTTTTAGCTTGGGGATTGCTGCTTTGCAGGGGACTTCGCGCGCCAAGTCCGGTCCGGGTCCACTGCAAGAGGTACGTTGACTAAGCCAAACCATTACAGCCGTCCAGTCTCACAAGTCCGAGTTCGCGTAGGCGTTGTTGCCTTGCAAACAATAAAAAAAAAACACTTGCCCTAGCAGCGTATTGCACTGACATCAACACCCCAACCTTTCTACCGGGCGTCTAAGCTGTTCATCGGAGGCTACGACTTCAGCGACGGCGGTTCTAGCAACTCCACCGCTTGGTTCGGCCCGTTTGGGTGAGTGCCGGGATCGATTTTTCTTGCGTGGGTTTGGGACGAAACTCGCAACTAAGCAATGAATCCTCTCGCCCCCGCCATGTGAGAATGGCAGTTCTGCGCAGACCCGCGATGACGCGAGGTAATTCATGATGAAAAGCTAACCATGGAAGGAAAACCAATCGCTTTCCCCTTGCGTCTTGGATATCTTGCTTTCTTCGTGATTGTCTTGACACAGCCATTGCCGGAACAAGAGTGGCGAGACCTTCTACACGACGGGCACCAGTTGTGGGGACGACGGGGCTCTGGCCACGGGCGCCGAAATCGTGTTTGCCGACGGGCTTGCCGGCGGTGGCGTCTTCGCCACGGCGACGAGGCTCCAGTGCGCCAAGATCACGCCAACCTGTCTCGCCCCTCACGCCGGTACGAGCAGCGTAGGCAAGCTACCGTACCGCCGGCATTCATCCGGGGTGACAGAGCAGAGAACAACAGGAAGCACCAGGCCCCCCACCCCCTCCTGTGCCCCATGTCCAGAGTGGTGTCTACCCGAAATCCGTGAGCGGGGCTGTACCACACGGCTGTTACCTTGTTGCATCCACGTGTCTCCCTCGTGTCGAGATTACCACACACCGACTTTGGGTCCCACATATTGAACGTGATTGAATACGGGCTGTCTTCCCCACGTGCGACTTGTTATGCCCCCGCTCATGACCCGTTCCTCCTTCCAGGCTCCGAAGGTGGTAGTGCTGCGAGTAAAGCCTCTCCACCCTTGGTACAAGGCGCCGGGATCGCACTATCGTCGTCGTCGTCGTATTTGACTCGCCGGCTAGAGGAAGTGGACACGTCCGGACCTCCTTCTCCCACGTCTTCTCCCACTCCTTCTCCCACTCCTTCTCCCACCCCAGCTCCCGAGTGCATCAACCACAATGTGTGCGGAACCCCAGAGTATTGGGAGCGTCAGGACAGAATTGTCTACAGTTCGTTAATATCCGTGGCCTGTGTGCTATGCGCATGTTTCAGCGCGTGCGGATACTTGGACTGGAGGAACACGAGGGTAGAATCGCGAAACGTCATTGGACCGGACAATCTCACGGACTTCGCTCATATTAGACGAGCTTGGAGAGAAGGCGGCAATGGCTGGACCAGGACTGATCGTGTCGGCTACTCGTCCGGAAATGGCTGGACGACTGATCCTGCCGGCTTCCCTGGACACACGCCAACACCAGGTACGGTAGTGAAAATTCGGTGCTTGGTTGCAGATTTCCAGGTCCTTGTAGCAGCTGTCGTTGTTCCCGGGGATACAAAGACAAGTCGTAGGGAAGTCAATGGATGAAGTGCCGTAGACGGATGGATTGTTGAAACAGCCCTTGGGAAAACCCCGGGCGAATCTGAATCCCGCGCTTTCTCCCCGCGAGAGAGTGGGTTTGCTCCAAGCTAGTGATCGAATATAGACAACTACCAAATAATAGCATGTAGCGCGCCCGAACACGCACCTAAACGTTGTCCATCATCAGGATAAAAAACGCAATGCAGTAGGTACGTCTGTCTCGACACCAGGACAGTCGCATGCCTCTTATCTTCGAGATCATTTCCGACAGAACCTATAGTGGACTTTGTGTGCTGTACGTTTTCTTGAAAACTTTCAATACTGCGTTTGGAAGAAAGAGCTGGACACCAACACGTTTGTCGCAGCCACACACCCCTCGCCTGCAGCACGCACACACAGAACTCTCTGAAGCCTCACCCAACACCCCCACTTGGTATACGGAGGCTCATACCATAGGAGTGGTTAAGTCTAGAGACCTAGAAACCAACGTGTCCCAGCTGACAGTTCTGGAGTTTCCAGGGGCTGCCCCATTTTGTGTTCCGACACTCTTGGTCTTGCTTGGGTTGTTAGATTTGTGAACTCTACTGCAAGAGAGGCTCGATTTTCTCACGATGAGGTTTGAAGATCGGCACCAAACTTTAGGAGGGGGCGAACCTAACCGCCAGCTACACCTCTGCGACCCTTAC